TCACTACTACCATAATTACTGCAGCACAATGTTAATAAACTATCTTTAATTTTAAGGTTGTTAAGATTGAACTTATTATATTTGTAAAGTTATGAGCTCATATCTACTGTTTTTATAATTTAACGAATTTTTACTTATAAATTACTCCACATCAAATATTATGGGTTCAACTAAACCCATAATATTTAATTTAATCTGAGACTGTACCTAAAAAATAAAAAATCTGAGACTGTACAAGAGGAAAGTGAGACTATATAGCAGTAAGTAAATAAGAGTAGGAATAATAGTCATTTAAAAAGGTTGGTGAGGTCAGAAAAGATACAACCGTATGCCAGTCAGCAGAAAGTTCAAGATATTTTAAGATTTAGGAACCCCACCTCTTCCCCACTCTTCTACTCATTCCATCCCTAAAAAGGAGATTTGCGCGAGATCAACTATCACCTCTGTCCATTTCAAAGATAGAAGAACATTGAACTCTTGTTAAACATTCAGAAAATCCAAAATACAAATAACATCAACTAATTAAACCTAGCCTTCAAACTCTTGACATACAAAAAATAAAATCTTTTTGTGTTCTTATCAAGACAAGATCGCACAATATTTCTAGCTTAGCGCCGCCAAACCTAGATCGTTTTCCTAGCGTTTTGGAATCGTGATAATGAGCCAGAGAAGCACTGGAGACAGCCGTCCCTGCGATTTCTGCAATCAGCAGATTGCCGTACTTTACTGTCGAGCTGATTCAGCAAAGCTGTGTCTTTTCTGTGACCAGCACGTTCATTCAGCTAACGCCCTCTCCAAAAAACACATCCGATCTCAGATCTGTGACAACTGTGGCTCCGAGCCTGTCTCCATCTGTTGCGCCACCGACAACCTCGTACTCTGCCAAGAATGCGATTGGGATGCTCACGGCAGCTGTGAACACGATCGGACCCCTGTTGAAGGGTTCTCTGGATGTCCTTGTGCTTCTGAGCTTGCTTCAGCTTGGGGTTTAGATATTGAGGCCAAGAAACCACCTACACCTACTCATTTGCAGCCCACTTGGAATGGTTTCTTAGAGCCTTGTAATTGGATGTGTAAGGATGCTATTCCTCCTCCTTCCTCTGTCTTGTTGCAAGATTTAATGGTACCTAACGCTACTAATAATAATTCTGGGATTTACTCCACAACTTGTGAGGTGGGTAGAAAACAAAATCCAACTTGTGGCAAGCAGAAACAAGTGCTATTGAAACAATTAATTGAGTTATTCAAGAGAGATGTGGCAGATGGGGTTGGAGGTGGATCGGAAGATTTAGTTCCAAAGACACCTAATGGGAGTAGTGATTGGCAGGGAAATGTTAATGTGACGGAGGGGAGTGATGCGGTTATGGGTGGTGTCAATCAGCAGCTTGAGCCGCAGAGCGTGCCGTTTACCTCTTTGCTTATGATGCAGAAGCCTCATAATTCAAAAGATAGTGACCGCATGGTGCAAGGGGATATTTTGTCGAGCGGAAATTCCTATGTTCAAAACACGCAGGTATTATCATAATTTCATGGTGCTAATTATAACTTTATCGGTCATAGCTAGGATATTTTGCATAGACTGAACAAGTGCGATGAATTAATCCACTTCTGTTGTCTCGTTCTTTGTGTCACATATTGTTCAATAACGTTTGCCTTTGTTTCAAATGTGAAAAGCTAAAGCTGTCGTGCAGAATTGCAGAATAAAAACTGTTTTTATCATCGAGTCGTCATTGAACTGGGGATTTCTTCATACTAATAGTGATTTGATAGATAATTGAACATCCAACATGAACCTGCACGTATGATGATTCGTTTGAGTTGAGAAAATAATAGATGATAAGCCCATATCATTATAGTGTTTGGTGCCTTTCAAGTATAATTAGGATGTGAACAGACTTGAGATTCTGCTTTGATTTGTTCCCAGTGCGCATCTACAAAGCAAAGGAAAATTCTGTCATATTGGAATCTTGGGGGTAGGCATTTTAGAGGTTGGGAAAAAATTTCTTGTACTAATGGAATTGGTTATGTCATATTTGTACAGGCAGCATGCAAAATTTCCTTTTCTGTCAAGTTTTGTTAGATCTTGAGTTGGTTGTGGTTAATAATCTAGATCTATACCAGTCGATCCTCGTTTTTGTGGTTTTTAGTGATTTTGGCATATGCATAAAGTTGCATGAGAATCACATATTCTCTCTATGGTCTATTTTGGTTGTTGAGGTGTGTCTCAAGATAGTATCTTCATTTTTAAGTAAATAAAGATGCATAATGCTACGATGTTGCATTTGATATTCTGTTTCAATATTAAGACAATCTTCTATTCCCATTTCTTTTTCTAAAATGGGATCGTCTATTTCCATTTTTGAAATAATATGATATTCAGAACTATCTTTGAGCTGTCAAAATCAGTCGTACACCTTTAATCTTCTCTGGTGAAAAGTATTAGGAAATTTAAAAACATGCATCGAGCTTAATGAGTGTAACATAGACTTGTCAAAGAATTATGCTTTTGCTTTTTTGAACTGACAAAATTTAAAAGGAAGAGATATCGGTTGAACAGGACATGTTGCTGATATACTTTATGTTGTACCCTCTTTAGTTACCTGAAATGATACTAGCTTCTTCTCCTCTACTGCTTGCTTCATTGACCCAGTTCTTGAAGTTGGACTGATTGTATTCACGGCCTTGTTGTGTTTGCTTCTTCAGATATGGGATTTCAATCTGGGGCAGTTGAGGAGCCATGAACAGTCAAGCTCAGTGGAAGCCGACTACAGTGAGAGCGACATGGCTTACATGATGAAAAGCTATGGTGAACTCATAAAAGGAACATCATTAGCAACTTCAAAAGGATTAGAACTCTCAGGCATTAACTGCTCAGTTGCCCATGAAGATATGACAGCTTTCAGTGTAAGCTCTAGCCACCGTTAAGTTCATCTCATTTGTTCTATTTTGATCCATTAAATCAATTATTGTGGCATGATTGAGTCTTGAGACCTGTACTTTTAAGTGACAGATAACAAAAATGTCTGAGTGACAGATGTCTGTGACCCACTTTGTCAGTTCTTTGTTCTGTCTTGGAGGATTGTTGAGGTTTCTTTTGTGTTAAGGAGTCGGATATATAATACCTTTACAATTTTGTAAATTCTAACAAAGGCATGGTGTACAACTGATTCTGCAATGCATTCAACCAGAATACGGCCATGTCAATTTTAATTAACTCGAGAACTTTCTATAGTCTGCTTTAGGAACCACGACCATTAGTGGTTCTGTTGATTCACCTTGGACACTGCTTTTGACATTACTTTTTCCACTTAGCTTGGGTTATGTTATTGAGAATTTGAGGTACCACATTATTACCTGATTAATAAATAAATGTTCGATAGTGAGGTCATACATAGTAATGCTAACAGTAACGCTTCATTTTCTCTTTGGTATACATGGATGGATAGTGAAATTATCTGCGAAAAAACAGATGTGTCAAATGGTATGATATAATAATGTCTTCCTCTTGAATCTGAGAAATTACTTGCTTCATGCCTTGCAGAATAATTCAAATAACCGAGGGGAAAGCCAGGGGCCAGCTACATCTGAGAGCAACAATTTACCAATAATTAAGCTTTCTTCTGACTCTGGTTCTGCTAAACGGAAATGCTGTGGTGTGTCTAAAGATTTGAACTTTATGGAGCAAAGCATTTTTGTGGGAGGTGAAAACACCGGTGAGGAAATACTCAAGGCTGATATGGAGCTTCTGGCGAAGAACAGAGGAAACGCAATGCAACGTTATAAGGAGAAAAAGAAAACACGAAGGTAGGTTATTTCTTTTAGTTTTCCTTTCAGCATAGTTTTCCCTTGTCACCTCTTGAGTTTATCCTTACATCTCGGTTTTGTTGAATCTCTGAGTGTGAGTTGTGATGTCCAGATATGATAAACACATTCGTTATGAATCAAGGAAGGCAAGAGCTGATACTAGAAAGCGAGTTAAGGGTCGATTTGTCAAGGCTAATGAAGCTCCAGATGGCTGAATACCCGTTGAATGACAGAGGATAAGGATCTTTCTGTCTGTATGTATATATTTCTTAGCCTGCTTAATATTTGTAATCTTAGGATGCGTTGTGCATCTGTAGCACCATTTGTTAGTTAATATTCTACTCACCCTTCGTGCTTCTGCATATATATCAAGTGCTTGCATGTACAACCTTGATCATCAGGTTTGTGGCTAGACCCCTAACCCGGGGATCAGCTTTTTGAGGCAAGTCTTGGAAGTGAAATCTTGGCTAATTTTGTCCGGCATTAATTGGGATATTTGATGATATGAATCCACCAAGAACAAAGGTGATATCCAGAGCTGTAACAACAACAGGGGTATCAAATTACTGAGTCATACCATGAAAGTTTGGGAAAGGGTGGTAGAAGTGAGGGTGAGGAGGACGGTGTATATTTCAGACAACCTGTTTGGGTTCATGCCTGGGCGTTCTACCATGGAAGTTATCCGCCTTATTACGAGGTTGGTGGAACAGTACACGGATAGGAAGGACCTGGTGTTTATTGATCTGGAGAAAGCGTATGACAAGGTTCCTAGAGAGGTTCTATGGTTGATTAACCCATGTATGATGGAGCTAAGACTCGGGTTAGGACAGTGGGAGGCGACTCGGAGCATTTTCCGGTTGTTATGGGGTTGTACCAAGGGTCGGCGCTCAGCCCGTTCCTATTTGCCCTGGACAGGAAGTTGTGGAGGTCGAGCATTAAGGTCGTAGGTTAGGGGGTAGTTGTGCATATTTCTACGGCGCTCCAGAGTGAGGCTAGTATGTTAGGATTTAGTCTTAGATTGCTAGTGATTAATGTTGAGTTCACACCACTCTTTCGTTTCTCTTAGTGCCGGGCTTTATCTACTGGTTATTGTTTTACTTTTCATTTATTTTCTGGTTCTCTGTGATGTTGTTTTTTCTATGATTTTTATCGATGGTACTGATATATTACATCTTTTCGTCTTCTTGAACCGAGGGTCTATCGGAAACAGCCTCTCTATCCTCTCGGAGGTAGGAGTAAGGTTTGCGTACACACTATCCTCTTTAGACCCTACTAGTGAGATTTCACTGGGCATTGTTGTTGTTAATGATATGAATCCACCAGGAGTGGATCGCCTGGATACCTTATTGAGAGGTAACCAAAGACTCAATTCAGTCTCCCTCTGGCAATACTTCGTGCATTTTCTTTTTGAGTGGTATGCATTCATTCATTTTGTCGAGATGATCTGAGTGACAAAATTCTTGTTTCTTTCACCTGGAGCCGGGGAAAGGGAAGAAGAATTCTTGCTGAAGCTGATGTAACCAGAGATTAAATTCAGCCTCCCCCCTCTCTCTCCCAACATGTTTGGAAAGCTGATGCTAAGTATTTAAGTCAGAAGAAGGATTATAGAATTTCCTGATAAGTTGGTAGTGTTGTAACCAATTCTTCTGTCGTGCTATGTTTTGTTGGCTGTCAAGATGAATCTTGCATGTATGCACTTCTCAGAAAGGAGCGAGAATTCCTCAAGTCTCTTCCTTTAGGAACTAACGCTCGAGTTTGTCATTTTATGGCGCCAAAAGACCGACAACTAAAAAGGAAAAGGAAAACAAAGAGAGAAATTGCCACGTGCTAGATTACTGGGTAGATCCAGCTGACTCTAATCTCATTCTATCGTGTGGTTAATCTTGGGAAATAATGCAACTCGATAGAAGAAAATTTGTTTGGTGATGTGGGTTAAACTCCCTGTTTTTTTTTTTCCCTTAAATTCCATGCTGAATCAAACAACTTCGTCTAAATTGAAATGAAGGGAGTATTAAAATTCAAGGGATGTATTAATATTGCGGATGTAGATGACGACCTTAATTGAGTTTTGGAGGAAATAGTGTTGGTTCATCAAGGAAATGAAGAAGCAAATGTAGATGAGTGTTAATAAGAGATGCAGGCATAAATTAAGCCACTTGCTCATTGATCCGTGATAGTATAACTTTTTCTTGCAGAGATGTGAAGTATGTACGGTGGGATATCTTGTGAAAGCTCTTTTATCCTGTGAATGCTTTTAAGGATCATCTAGCAGAGAAAAGAACTTACCGCTTCCTATTTACTTCATTCACGCCTTTTCATTTCTTTCTTTATGAGAGAATTTGAACAATGTTTTCAGTCACTTGAATTATTCAAACTAAAACAGAGTAATATTGGTCTCCATGAAGGACTTGTCTTTCTTTCAGTTGAAGAATGTCATGGGAGCTAAGCTGAGGAAAGGCTTTAAAAACTTTTGTAATAACGAAAGCTCTACCTCCACTCTCAACCATCAAACTGCAGCCTCTGCCCGCTCTCTCTCATCTACGTATATGATGGTCACTGCTACTACTGATCTAAAGCTGAACGAAAGGAATAACCCGACAACCTTGGAGGAGATGTTGCTCCAATTGGACATGGGGGAGAAAATGGCAAGAAGAGAAAAGCTGAACGAATATGGGCAGCATAGAATGTCTTGTGTCAACACTTCAGACATTCTTCGAACTGCAAGGAAAACGCTAAACCAGTATCTCCGCTTTTCTCTGGATGGCAAAGATGCCATGTTCCGGTCTTCTTTCCATGATGTGTCTCCTTTGCTAACCACAAGTGTTGGTGCAAGAAAATCAGTATGCTGCAACCGCGAGCTGAGGAAAATGGAGATGAAAACTCAAACTCAAACTCAGAACATGCACCCGGCAATAGCAGGGGAGAGAGTTGTTTGGTGTAAACCCGGAGTAGTAGCTAAGTTAATGGGACTTGAAGCCATGCCAAAATCAATACACAGAAAACATAGTAAGGATAGAGTGAGTGCAATTATCAAAAGCCAAAGCCTGAGGAAACGGTACGAGATAGAGAGTAAGAGAAGAGGAAGGGTGGTGGTGGAAACGAGCTGTGGTGGCCACAACTCTAATGTAAAGAGAGGGATAAATAATCAGATGAGCTCTTGTTCAAGAAATGGCTATTGCGTTATGAAACCCGTTTCAATAGACCTAACAAAAGATTACAAAGAAGTAGGCTAGCCAATGCGAGGCGGCGTTTTGTACAGAAATAACAATGACATGTTGTAAGATTTTTCTTTTTACTTATTGTTCAACTCAGGTGCTTTTGTCAATCATATATAGAAGAGGACTATCTTTTGTGTATGCCAAATTAATTGTCTTTATGTTTTTTCTAATTAGTTGGATGCGTGATGTGTATAAAAATTTCATATGTGAATCCGAAGTTCTACCAGAACAAATTTTAAACTGGAATTGGTAATGTACCAAAATTGTGTTTGAACATTTTAGCGTCAAAGTTCGAACGTTTGCTGGATTTTAAGGTGTGAATAGGAAAATGTACCTTTTGAACTGCACCTCTTCATCTAGCCATTTCTTTGCCTATAAATACTAAGGCATTATTTCAGATATTTTCAACGAATTTCCAAATGTTTATGTTACACTCACACACAACACAATAACAGAAGAAGAAAAGCTTATCAGCTAAGGAGAAGAAAGGAGAAAGAAGAGAGATTTAGGAGAGGAAATTTAGATAGATTTTCATTGATTCCTAATCATTGGAGTATAAGGAATATAAATAACGACTACCCTGCCAAATGCTGTTACCTAGGGATCCGAAATTATGCCAACTGGCAGTGCATGACAATATTTCTGTACTATCAGCTAATAGGACTAAAAAGGCTGGAATTTAAATTACATAGGACTAAATTGCTCTAATTAAAACTATGGGACTAAATTGTAAAACTACTACCAACTGAATTAACTACCATTATTGTAACAAATCCTGCCCCTTATAGAACCTTGTCCTCAAGGTTCGAAATTTGGAAACTGGGATTTGATGAAGCCATAATCTTCCCAAGTAGCCTCTTCCGGCAGTAAGTTGGACCATTGATACCAAAACTTGTGTCACTGCTTTATTCCCTCTCTTGATCATTCTTCTTCCTAACACAACAATTGGTTCAGTCATATGAGCTCCATCAGGTATGCATACAGGAGGATCAACACATGTAACTATATTAGTGCCTATTTTCTTCTTGAGTTGTGAAACATGAAAAACTGGATGGATTTTTGCTGTTGTAGGAAGTTGTAACTCATAAGCAGCATTGCCGATCCTTTTAATCACTTGATAAGGACCACGGAACTTAGATGAGAGTTTGAGGCTCTTCCGGATGGCTACAGAAGACTTGCCTATAAGGTTGGAGCTTAAGATAGACCCAATCTCCTACTGAAAATTCTCGACCAGTCCTATGCTTATCTGCCTGTTGTTTCATCCTATTCTGAGCTTTTCTGAGACTTTCCTGCAGTACCTTAGCCATCACTTGCCTTTCCTTTAACCACTGATCCACAGAGTCCACTTTGCTTTGAGAAACTAATTCAAATGTTAGCTGTGGAGGTTCATAACCATAGATAATTTGAAATGGAGTCATTTGTAATGCAGAATGGAATGAGGTGTTATACCAAAATTCAGCTAGAGAGAGCCATTGATTCCATGCTTTTGGTTTATGACTTGTCATGCATCTGAGAGATGTTTCTAGGTACCTATTTAGCCTTTCTGATTGACCATCTGTCAGAGGGTCGTAAGCTGAGCTCATGTGTAACTCAGTCTTGAGTAACTTAAAGAGTTCCCTCCGGAAAAGGCCGGTGAACACCTTATCTCTGTCACATACTATGCTTTGAGGGAGGCCATGTAGCTTCTACACCTGGTCTAGGAAGGCTTTAGCAACATGGGCTGCATTGAAGGGGTGAAGGAGTGGAATGAAGTGTGCATACTTGCTGAACCTGTCAATCAACACTAGGATAGTGTCTTTCCCTTATGATTTTGGAAGCCCTTCAATAAAATCCATAGAAATATGCTTCCAAGGATGGTCTGGAATGGGAAAAGGTTGGAGCAATCCTGGAGGTGATATGTTTTCAGTTTTGTTTCTTTGACAAACATCACATTCTTGGATGACCTTCTAAATATCTGACTGCATAGATGGCCAATAGAATAGTGACCTCAACCTTTTATAAGTTGCTAGAACTCCAGAATGACCACCTAGTGCTGAGGAGTGCATGACCTTTATTAGTCGCTGCCTCATATTACCCTGACTTCCTATCCACAACTTGGCCAAATGTCTTAACAGTCCATTCACCACTTGGTTGGTAACACTCCCATCTGGATTGTGAGTAAGTTCAGAGATGAGTTGATTCACTTCCTCATCTCCTTGATAGCTCTCTAACACTTCTTGATCCCAAGTTGGCCTAATGATGGTGATAGCATTACAACGTCCTGAGATTTTCCTGGACAGGGCATCAGCTGCTGAATTCTCACTTCCCTTCCTATACTGAATATCAAAGTTTAGCCCCAATAACTTGGTTAAACCTTTATGCTGTAGCACAGTAGAAATCCTCTGATCCTTGAGGAATTTGAGACTAAAATGGTCAGTCTTGACTATGAACAAGTTCTGCTGTAAGTAATGCCTCCACTTGTCTACTGCTAATATTAAAACCAGTAATTCCTTCTCATAAGTTGATAGTCCTTGATGTTTAGGATTAAGAGCTAGACTCAGGTAGGCTATTGGATGATGCTCTTGCATGAGGATGGCTCCAACACCTGAACCACTATCATCACCTTCTACAGTGAAGGGCTTAGAAAAATCTTGTAAGGCCAATACAGGAGCCTTAACCATTGCCTCTTTGAGTCTTTCAAATGCAGCTGTAGCTTCTTTAGACCATGCAAAGTTCCCTTTCTTGAGTAGTGAAGTCAATGGCTTGCTAATGACTCCACACCCCAATATAAATCTCCTGTAGTAGCCAGTGAGTCCAAGGAACCCTCTTAAATCCTTAATGCTTTTTGGTGTAGGCCATTGCAACATTGTTTGAATCTTAGCAGGGTCTATTTGCACCACATTTCCTGAAATGATGTGGACAAGATAGTCCACTTGTGATTGGGCAAAAGAGCATTTGGATCTCTTAGCATATAGTTGGTGTTGTCTCAGCAGTTGAAGCACCTTTTCTAAATGCCTCAAGTGACTACTTAATTCTAGACTGTAGACTATGATGTCATCAAAAAATACCAGGATGAACTTTCTGAGATACTCCCCAAACACATGGTGCATTAGTGCCTAAAATGTAGCAGGTGCATTAGTCAACCTAAAGGGCATGTCTTTTAATTTCCATAGTCCGTGATGTGTTCTAAATGCAGTCTTGAAATCATCAGATTCCTTCATCCTCACTTGATGATAACCAGCTCTAAGGTCAATATTAGAAAACAGGACTACCCCTTTAAGTTCATCCAATAAGTCTTCTACTACTGGAATGGGATACTTGTTTTTGACAGGCATTGCATTTAGCTTTCTGTAGTCAACACACAATCTCCATGTGGAGTCCTTCTTTTTGACTAGGAGAGCTGGTGAGTCAAAGCAAGATTGGCTAGGTACCACAGTCCTAACCATGAGCATTTCTGTGATCATTTGCTCAATTGCATTCTTTTGATCATGAGGGTATCTTTAAGGTCTTAGACTGAAAGGATGAGCATCTGGCATCAAAGTGATGGTGTGGTCACAGCTTCTTTTGGGAGGCAAGGCCATTGGTTCTTCAAAGATATCAGCATACTTTTGCAGCAACTCAAGAACTGGTGCAGGTACATCCACTTTTGAAGTTTGCCGGGATAAATCATACACTTGCACTAGACAACAACTGCTTCTTTGTTGCAACAATTTTGCTGCGTTTTCCTCAACATCAGACCATACTTCAGCACTATCAGCATTGCCTTTAAGTGTGATGATTCTGCCTTCTTTGAGGAAGGTCACACTAAGAGGTCTTGTGTTGAGGATGAGAGGGGTGAACTGATCTAGCCAATTCATCCCAAGTACCATGTCATAGCCCCCAAGGTGTAATACTCTCATAGGAAATTGGAATTCTTCTCCCTGCATAGTCCATTTAAACTTTTGAAACCATTCTTCACTAAACATCTGTTGACCATTTGCCACAACTACCCTCAGAGGTTGAGCAAAGGGATATACCATTCCTGTCGTGCTTTTAGCTACCCTTGGGCTAATGAAGCTATGAGTAGATCCACTATCTACCAAAATCAGCATAAATAACTTCTTCACCTTCCCCTGTATCTTGATAGTAGAAGGTGAAGTAGTAATTCCCAAGGCTACATTCATTGACAATTTTATATGCTCCTCTACTACCACAGCCACAGTTTTTTCCACAGGTTTAGTTGCCTCCCTTGCATCGTGATAAACTTCCTCCTGTTCTACTCCACTAGTGCCAGTCATTAGGTTTAGGGTCTTTGGTTTACATTGATGTCCAGGGTAATACCTCTCATGACACCTGAAGCAGATGTTTCTTTCCCTCATCTGATCATAGGTTAGGTTATTTGGTTGGTTGGTGCCTGCAGTACCAGAAGGGCCTGCCTGGTTGTTTGGATAGGTTGGTGTTGGAGGAGTGTTTCTGGTGGGGTAGGTAAGTCTGAGTGGTTCATTATAGGTGAGAGGGAGAGGGTTCTGAGGAAAGGTGACTCTTGGAGTAGTGGGATGATAATTTCTGGTGGCAATTTGAGGGGGTCGATATAAGTGTTTTTGCAAGGCTTTAGGGCATCCTCTTGCAGTTTGGCTACTTCATATGTGTCTAAAAGAGTTGAGGGGCTATATGTCCTAACCAAATGCTTGATTTCAGGTCTCAATCCCCTCACAAAACTAGCTACAAAATGCAGCTCATTCAAGTGAGGGCTGATCATCATCATATGAATCCTTAACTCCTCAAACTTCTCTTGGTATGCTTCTATGCTACCTTCCTGCCTCAACTTGCTAAACTGATCAATAATATCTAGAGGTCTGACATGACAAAACCTCCTACAAATGTCCATCCAAAATAAAGGCCAATCCACTATCCCCCCCTATCAATAACATAAACATCAAACCAATTATCCAACTTATCTTTGAGATACACAATGTAAGTCATTTTCTGATGGTCAGGTACCTTATAGATTTCGAAATGCCTGTCACATCTCCTAATCCAAGCCCTGGGGTTGGTTCCATCAAATTCTGGAAACATAAGCTTGCCTTTTGGAACCTTAGTTGTGGCTAGTTGCTGATATTGATTCCCTACTTCTGTGAGTCCAACCGGAGTAGGTAAAATTGGAGGTTGGGGGTTTCTCTACACAGG